TTTTGCCATTAGCTGTAAAAAATATAATAATATTTGTTTGTATAATTGTGTACTCACGTCAAGGTGCTTTTCGCGGCTCAGAAAATGCTCGGCCACGTGAACGGGCAGAATGTTTTCGAGCAGTTTACGGTTATAAGCCTGTAGATGCTCCATGTCCTCCTTTTCCTCTGCGAAATATTCGCAACAAATGGCCACAAAGAGAGCAGCAAAAAAAAACATAAGCGTGAAATTGAAATATCAGTTTATCAGTTTACCGAAGCGTAAAGTAAAAGCACAAAAACAGAACGCAGAACAGAAAGCTGACAGCACACCCACACACACACATACAACAAAAAACAAGGAAATTCGGGGGAAAATGTCTGAGTGCATCTGTGTGAGTGTGGGCGTTGCAATTGTGCACTAATACTAATGAAGTGGCTTATGTCCCGAAACTTTTCCAACCCCCTCGCTCTCTCAATCTCTTTGGAAATCATTTCGAATCACTGACAGTGTGTCAAACGGAAAAAGCGACGTCATGAACGCAGGAAAACGGCTTACAACTTTTCAACCAACTCGCAAATTTTAATCAGTCTGAATCCTACGAGGGGTTTCCCTTAAAATGGAATAGGAATTTATGAATGAGTGAGGAAATTCGACGTTTGTGAATTTAGGGGAATACTGGCAACTATGCGTATACGTGATATTGCATGTTGGAATTTATGCGAAATTAAAAGCTGGCTTCAAAGTAAGCTTGAAAGTTAATTAAGGTATATTAATGCAGCCCTAAAAGTGGCTTCAACTTGCCCAAGTTTAATATTCAGTTAGTGTAAAAATTGATAAGTAGAATATACATTTTCTCAGTAAAATATACTTTTTAAATTAATTACATCAAAAATCAGAAACAATAATTGTTTAAAACACTTCTTCTCCATGCACCCGCATTATAAATTACAACATAAATTTAACTTTAAAACGTCTTAATTAGTTGGAAACTAAAATGTAAAAGCACTCTAGCTCATTCCCTTTGACCAGTTTAAAAAGTTTTCTGAATAATTTTTCACAAAGTTCGAAAGTAGCTTTACTCGGTTTCCATTTGCACACTTTGCCTGCCCAATTGACTTTGAAATAATAATTAAACTTGTCTCACCCGTGGCCTGCAGCTTCCAAATAAAGTCCAGGCGGTAAGTGGCCTCCGTTTGATGGCTGTGAAAAATCAGCGCCAGCATAAAGGCGAACAGGAATATGGAATCAATTATGTAGCGCAGCATTGCCTCCTCGTTGCTGTTGGTAACATGAAAGAAAAAAAAAGACCCCGAAATGGCGACAATGACGAAGTTATTCCGGTCCATTAAAGGGCAATGCAGGGCGACAAGGACACGAAACGGAAAGGAACAAGAGAAGTTAGTGCTGGTTGATAAATGAAGCCGAGGGCGGCGGCTTCTGTGTTTCCATTTGGATTCGGAGTGGGTGCTAAATACAATTTTAATGCAGTTTGCGGCTGCCGTAAATGCAATTCAGCTGGTGCCGACTCAGCAGTGGTCCTTGTAACCCCTTGCGACCCACTGAACCCAACTGAAATTGCATTACGCCATAATTCGTTTTCATTCAGAGATAGCGCAGCTGCCTCTCTGAATGCAGAATGTACGGATGCCAACTGCTGGGTGCTGGATGCTGAATGCTGGATGTTTTACTTACGCCAACTCCTGGCTTATTTCCTTGCTGCGCGTGTACAAGTAGGTGGAGCAGGCCATGTAGCTGCCGGAGGCCAGCAGGAGCAGCATCAGCTTCAGCAGGATGCGCAGCACTTGGTAGGTGGCACAGCTCATCATCGAAAGCAGCGTGAGCAGCAGGAATGTCTGTGGGCGGAATCAGAGAATTATAGATGTATATAAATGCAGCCCTAGCCCGCGGGGATAAATTGCATAGCAACTGCCAGCTGGGCAGTCAAAAGTAACTGGTAATTCCAAGAAATTATAATAATTATAGCTTGAGATATAGACTAAAGACTAGTGACTCACATTGTAGGCCAAATAAAAGTCGCAATCGGAGTCGGAATCCTCCAGGGCATACATCTCCTGATGGTTATATGCCGTGACATTTATATTCCCGTTGACATCCAGCCAGAACAACTTCCGCTGAAGCAACTCCAGCTGGCGGGCCGATTCCTGGAACTATATATAAATATATATATATATATATTGTGGAGAGCATTGCTAATTAGCTGTCTTGCCATGAAATTCACATTAGACAAGTTTAACGATCTGCGGCAGATTTTAACGACGCAGCCCCCAACAGGTCGTACAAGTCGCAGTTCCCCTCGGAGATTGGCCATTAAGCGTGGCCCAAAATGAATACGAATGCCTCTTAAAGTGCCATTAAATGCGGCCCGAAACAAACACAAAAGTGACAGCGAAATGTCAAAGAACCCGGGGGCAAGGAGACTCGATCCAGACAAAAGCCATGGGGCAGGTAACAAGTTGCCCATAAAGCCACCTCTCACTTCATCATGTGGAGCTGGAACTGGAGCTGGAGCTGCCTGGGACTAGGATTCATTGCCCCTCGATGGAATGCCTTGCTTGGCTCCGCTCTCTGCTGGGCCAATGCCGAACTTTAATGGAAAAACTTTTGTTTTGACGCGCCCCAGCAAAACAAGAACGCAACAAGCGCGCCCCCAATTTTGTTTGGACTACAAAACGTAAATTTTATTTTTATTCCTTTTAAGAGGTTCCCATCGTCTCGTTCTCTCTGGAATTTCTAGTCGCAAAAGTTTCCCCCTGAGCTCCTCTGCAAGTAAATGCACAGCCAATGAAGGATAAAAAAAAAGAACAGAAAACAACAAGGAAGGAAGCTAACTTCGGTATGTTCGATGTTTGTATACCTTTGCAAATTTGAATAAAGCTGTACATATTTTTTAAATTTTGGACAATTTTAATGACCTCCTTATAAAATTGTGAAAAAAATAAGTAAATAGCTAGAGCGACATGGCTAATGATGCTGATCAAAACAAATAGACTCGGAATTGACTCCTTCACTGGGTTACAAGCTTCTAACTAAAATGCAAATATCCTGCAAGGGTATAAAAAGTCGGATCATAAGTTAACTTGGTCGAGTTTGGAATTCCCTAAAACAGAAGTAAAAGTAGCCCCAAGGCAGTTGGGATGCAGTTTCCAGTTTTTATTCAACCTTAAAGTCTTTTGAAATGGCTAAAATTTCAAAAGCTTAATGATTTCCCATAATATTGCGCATACGCCATGTATGTAGCATTAGAGTCTACGCATAATTCAGTGCTTGTTGTTTCAGAAATAACTTTTGACATTGTGTCACATAGAGAGAGAGAGAGAAAACTTTTATTTGGCAAATATTTTTGCATTTGACAGATTCTATGATTTTTTTGGGGGAAATTTAAAGTGGTTTTGTTTTGAATAATAAACTAAAAGGAGATTGCAATCAGTTCAAGTGAATTCAAAATTGAGATGTTTTCATTGAAAATCTTAGAGATGAAATGTACCAATTTATTTGACTTTTTTTAAATTTTATTTTATGAATAATATAAAGTTTAAACCTTATGTAATTGCCTCACTACTATTTTCATAAATTTATAAATTCGAAAAAGCCATTTTTAATAAAACCATTTCGCTGTCATAATGCGGCATTCGTAATTAAATTAAAATGTACCACGTTGTAGCCTTCTCGCTTGTCCCTTTTTGAATTTTCACTCAAATATTTATGGCATATTATAAAGGCAACCAATTACTAGAGGGCTATTACCCCCGTCAAATTATAGATATATATATAAAATATATTTATTCATGTACACTCACCATGGCCAGGAGGGTGGTGAGAACAATCAAAGCGACGCTGGCGAAGGCGAAAAACTGCGATATCCTGCGATTGCTATGAATGCGCAATGAGAAGCGTTTGATGTCCGATGGCAGCTAAAAAGTTTTGGCATTCCGCCGAATGAAAAATGCAGAATGTCAACAATCCCCCTTTGCTCGCTCTTTGTGTGTGTGTGGGTGCTCACCTGAAAGTTGATTTTATGACATGCCACCAGAAATACCAGGAGCCCGAGCAGCAGCACAGCGCCGGTGGACAAAGCCAGAGTCAACAGGGAGCTGCAATGAAAGAGTGGCAAGAGTGAAGAGTGGTTGCCAATTTAAATAGAGCAACTTTTTCGGCAACACGTATACGCAGCGTGTGCATGCAAAGGGAGTCAAGAGCCAGCGGGCAAACACATTGCAACGCCACATTGCGCTCGGACGCCCATCTGCAGTGCAACAACAACGGTGGCTTTCAGCTCATCCATACGGATTCCCATTGCCCATTCCCAATGCCGCACTCACCTCTGGAACACCACCAGGCGCATTGCACTCGTTCCGAGCAGCACCAACAGACTGCAGTAGAAGTAAACACACAACATGCGATCCGGCTCGCTGGCGTACTGAAAAACAAAGCGTTAAAAGAATGGCATAGCTGTAATATTCCTATACATTTTGTAAATAAATAAACAAGTGCCCGTTGCAAAGGAAACAATAGCTTGAAAGTAACATGAGTTCTATGCTTGTTGTTTTAAAGTTAAGCCAAGTTAATTTGGACCCAAAGCTATTCATGTAAGTTTACACATGCTGCCCTATGTGTTGTAACCTGACTGCAAAGTTATATTAAGTTTTAAAGGAATTTTGTATCATGCTTTTAAGATTAAAATCCCTAATCTATATTACCTTTCTCTCCAGCACATTATCCTTGAAGCATAGCAGCAAGGACTGACAATGCTCGGCCCTCAAGTGATCTATGCTGCGGGCATCTATGGCACGCATTAGATACTCATTGACCTCGTCCTCCGGATCCTTGGCACTCTCCGAACTGTCCCCAAAGCCAAATCTAAAATTAATTATAAACAAAAACAAATATGTATAAAAAAATTTAAGAAATTCCAATCAAACTCTTTTGTTAATAATTATAAAACCCACTTTGAAGTGTGCTTCTGGGCTGTTCCATGACCCATCATGCGCAGCTCTTTGGATATATTTCCATTAACCTGCAGGCGATTCCGAGACTTTTTGTGCTGCAGAAAAGGTCAGAATTAAATATATACAAAACGAGAGGGAGCGAAAGTAAATAGAGAAGTTAACTTACCGGCCTGTAGATATCCCCCGGCACTATGAGATAGGTTTCTATCTGGTGATCCTTGAGATACGAGTTGCGTTCGTTGCCCTTGCCCTGCTCCACTTCATAGTCGCCATCCAGACACTTTAAGGTCTCCTTGGTGATGTGAACGCGTCTAGAAAAAAAATATAGTAAAGGACACATCCTAATGATTATCTTGGCCAGCTTAAGGTTAGTTCTTTTTTCCAGGATATGTGGTTGGTTGGAAAATGCAGTTAACCGCAGGAAACACTCACATTAGATGCCACACACAAGCTGCTGCCACAGCAGCCACGAGCTCATTTTCCACGCCCCGCACTTTCCCGCATTTCCCTCTTTCCACTAAATTGTTTTTAATGCTGTTCTTGGCTGCAGATGCTCCTGGCTTCTTGGAATCCTTTGGATCCTTTGGCCTGTTGTTGATTCTATTGATAATTACACGACGCTTTGTTATGGATTGCTTCAGTCCACATTCCCCAAGGCAGGCTGGCAACTTTCTACCCCCGCTGCTAACGAACTTTTTACATGCCACGCCAGCTCAACTCTCGGCTCAGAAATTGCAGCTTATCAGGCATCCAGCCAAGCCATACCAGGAGGAGTAGCTGTTGCTACATATAGCCAGGGCCAACACTGCAGCTATTTGCTTTTAATTTCACCCGGGACAGGGCTAACAAACGAGCTGACGTCGCCCGGCTGACCCAAATAAACTCAACAGTTACTTAAACTTCCACCCAAAGTCGCAGCGTGAATATTCAAAAAAAGAAAAAATCAACACCGAAGGCGGGCAAAGAACATGGCCAAGCTACTTGTAAAAGATAACTTCGACTTGGCAAACTACACTATTTTGTGGTGAAGTTTATTTTGTACTGTACCGGGAATAAGTCACAGGAGAAGCAAAATCAGTTGATTGGCTTTAAGAGGTAGTTAAACTTAGTATAAATAAAACATACTCAAGATTTTTAAGGAAACTCCTTATTTATTCCTGCTACTGATAAAAAATATCCCGAATAGACAAGAAATAGTTGGAGATCGTGGTTGATAGCTTTTTCATGATACTGTCCCGTGATCCCAATGGAATGTCTTCAATCTCTTCTTCATTCTTACACTCATCTTTATAGTATTTCCATGACCACTTGTCGCTCGTGAGATCTATATCTGCGGCCAGAAGTCGCTGCTCGAACTCTTCGTATGATATCCTATCGCGTGTGTTGCTTCCGAAGGCCTGATGCTCTAGCATCATCAACTCCACTGCCACCTCGTCCTCTAGCCCCTGTTGCTTAAACAAATAGCTCATGGTCCTTCGAAAATCAAGGCGCTTAATGCAGCCACTATGACTGGAGTCAAACATTTGGGTTAGAAACCGCAGCTTCTCAGAGCGACCAGGTTTAGCGCCACCAAAGGGACCCGACTCTGGCCTCAGGATGATGGCAAAGATCTCCACGAACTTGTCGAAGCCCAGGCGGGCATCCTGTCCAGGATTGTCAAAGAAACAGTCCACAACCTGGCGGTACATGGGATTCAGGGCCAACTGGGGGATGCGTAGCAGATCAGATGGCGTCAGATAACCATCCTCAAAGCGATCCAGTTCGCAAAAGCGCGTGTAGAGGCTATTTAGCTGCTTTGTGGACAGGCCACTGGACAGCCGAAAGCGGAACAGTTCCTCGTGACTTAGAAATGGGCGGCTCGGTACTAGGCCCATGTCGGTCTTATAAAAGTTTATGTGGATACCTATCTCTGTGTTTGGCAACAAAATGTTCGATTTCACAGAGAATATTTAACAAAATATTTCAATTGGAAACCTTAGAAATAGGCTTTTATTACAAAGCCTATTTTTTCTACTGTAATTTAAATTTTTTAAGAATTTAAAAGCCATCTAAGCAGGTTTTCGAAACCGAAATATCTCCTTTTTTTAAGCTAAGAAACAGATTGGCTGAGAAATATGCTTAGTAAAATACTTTGTTAAAATACTTTCCTTAAGATAAATCTTAAATTTAACCATGCAAAAAAACTACATCTAAAATATATTATTAAAGAAGATAAACCCCAGTATCTGCCAGATATAGCTCAGCCAGCCTGATCCTTTGAAGTCAGGGTATATATCTGAACAGAAACAAATTGCTCGAGTGTTGAAGTGAGTGCAGCTGAATCAACAGCAACAAAATATTGTTCCGAGGGCACTTATCAGTGGTGGGTGTTCGGGTGTGGGCGGGGGCGTGGCATGCCTCAAGTCGGGTGCCTTGCAAGTTGTGGGCCATAATCGATTGGGCGTCGGGCTATTTGAGGAGCTTCCGAAGGGGTTGGCAAGTGCTCGCAAGTTACCAATAACTTGACGCCTTCAGCTGGCCACAAGACGCATGCAAAATGCTCCTTGTGTGTGCTGTGTGCGTGTGTGTTTTGTGGCAATTACAACGATTAAGCCAACAAAGGAGGGGCACAGCTCGAAGGACGACACTTTTGGCCTCTCAAGTGCCTTCATGGGAGGTATACAACTTTTGGCTTTAATTGTGCGCCGCGCAAACTTGTTTTTTTTCGCCCGCCCGGACAGGGTTTTCCGTGTGGAAGAAGCAGATATTACGAACGACTGCCTTTCATAGCCATTATTCACAGCTGTCGCCCAGAAGTGGCTCAAACTGACCGAAACGGGATTTTCAATGGCTTGAATTGGATTTCCCGCAGAGTGAAATTGAATTTGGTCAGGGGATGGCAGCAAAGTGAATTGAATTTCTGCGGATTTCCTCCCGCAAGAATATCCAGAACACAGAGAAGACACTTTTGAAGTGTCAGTCGATGACAGCTAAAGACCCCAAGATCAATTAATTTCAGCTGGGATATGGGAGATGGTACTGGGATGGGAGATTGTAGATTATAGATTAGATGTGGTGAGACTTACCCGGGTATCCCGCCGCTCTCCATGTGATTCGCTAGCGTGACATCGTTGGACCACACATCGAACTGCCACTTGACCAGGCCCAGGACACCGCAGTGCACTCGGCCCGTGTGGATGCCCACTCGCATGTTCACATTCACCGCCATCACCTCGCGGACCAGCCTGCAAAAGTTCCAGGAAAAAGAAAACAAAAGAAGGGATTGTAGTACAAATACAGGGGGAGAAAAGAATATCAAAAAGTATATAAATAAATTTATAATTAAATGATAAATTCCTGCAGATTTTTGTAATTAAAATATATATTAAGTAAACTTTACAAAATTTAAAGAACTACAATTTTAATTAATTTTTTCTTCCTGTGCAGCCTCAACAAAGCCGCAGAACAGCAATATCCTTTCATGTTCCCGTGTTCTGGATACGGATACTCACGCAATGGCGTCAATCATATCGAGTCCCATTTCGACGGCACAATGGGCATGATCCGGACGGGGCTCCGGGAGTCCGGAGACGCAGTAATAACAATCGCCCAGCAGCTTAATGCGCAGACAATGATGCTCCGCAGCCAATCGATCAAAGCTGCAATGGAAAAGTGGAAGGCGGAAATGAAGGAGTTGAGAAATCGACAAGAAAATCGCCAAGAAAATCGTCAAGAAAATCACAATCAAAGGCGGAGAAGTCGGGACCGCAAAAAGAAGCAGGCTCTTATTTCAGGGACCCTTTAAATAAAATAACTCTGAAGGACTTGAAATGAAACCAAAAAGTAAAGGTCTCAAAGGTTCGAGATTAATTAAAATCTGGTGTGGCCTTACAGTATATTATTTACCTTCAATTAAATAAAAGATTCATTACAATTCCATTATATTCAGATTCAGTCTTAAATTACTTGAAATGCGGAATAAAAAATCAATAAATTAAAGTGGCACTAAGAGAGCCCGATAAGCATTAAAATTTCCTTACTAACACCCAAAATTTCATCTCTCGTTCAAGCATAAAAGCAACTTGTTACTACTGCCTAAGTCAGGCCATAGAAAGGTCAGCAGCTTTATTTGTTTGCCCCGAGGTCAGTTTTCTTTCGCTCACTTGGAGCAATTAACAGAGCCACAGGCTCTGTCTGGGTTTCCATTTCATGAATAAGACAACAACGCAGACAGATAGATACTACACAGAGAGAAGTTGTCTTCTTTTGGAACTCCTGTTGAGACTTAGGTTAATATAGTCAAAGTAAGTATATTCTGGAAACTATTCACAAATCAAAGATCTTAATTGTATATTTATTTAAAGACAAAATGTTCCCTATTAAAATATCTTTTAGAGGTTCTAGATTTCCATTGCAAACTGTTGTCAATTCAAACTTGTTTACATTTCAAAGTAGTTGCTTCTTTTTTTTTTGCCAAGTGTCTGAACTGTTTGGCATTAATTATGGCCACAACCTCTGGCCGTAAAGCTTTTCCATTGAGGAGGCAGGTCCAATACCGATTCCCATACTCACCGGGCAAAGAGCTCGTTCAGCAGACGCACCAGTTCCTCGGCGGTGCACTGATCCGAGAGGCTGGTGAAGCCGCAGATGTCCGCAAAGAGAATGCTGAAAAACAGAAAAAAAGGCAAGATACAGATGAAACAACGAGTTTGAGGAGATTCGGAAAATAGTAAACAGTTAAGGAAAACAAAAAACTTATCAAAACAAATTGAAAACGTCAAACTTAAAGCTTTAAACCACCTTAAAAGAGGAATTTTAAACATATTCTAGGACTTAGGATTTATTTAATGTATTCTTAAGTTCATGAGAATCTTTACCTCCCCAAAACAGCTGTTTAAATGGAGTTTAAAATTTAAATTCCCTGCTTCTTCCGGAAAATTATTTCCCCTTTTTTTGTCTCAGCCTGAATTAAGTTGTCGGTTATTTATTCTCGTAAATCTAATGACGTTAAAACCATTTCACGTTCGCCTTCACTTGGCCTAAAACGCCATGTGTTGACAGAGCCACGTTAGCACTGCCACTTGTTTCGTGTTTATCTGGCGCTGCTTTCTTGCTGATTTTACGACTCGTAACTGAGAAGGGCTTAGTCGGCTCAGCGCGTAATTTAATACAAAATGGCTGAGGTAAACTTTTGGTAGGGTAAACATATAAAGCAAAGCAGCACTGGCAGGGCGTCTTGAGAGTTAAAATCTAAAAATACTCTATAGAAGGATATACTGAATTCCAGGATTATGTTTCAAATATTATAATAATAAGAGTGACTTGAAACCAACCTAACAATTTACCTAAAAATTCAGTTGGTATAAATTGTGACACGAAAAGTTTATTCCTATTTGAATTTCAATAAGAAATCTTATTTTCCCACACAGCCCAGTATCCGTATTCCAACTATTTTCCATATTTTATGCCCTGGCAACTTGGGACAGAAATCTTAGCAACTCCTTTTGAAAGGAAGCGAGGGAATAGCAGCAGCAGACAGACGACATTTCTGGCTCAAACAGGTGCGCCCCAAAGTATGCTTTATTATGCTTGCTTGAGTGCTCTGTGTGTCTGCTCTGGTGTGCGTGTGTATCTGTGCGCCTTTGTATCTGTGTGCCTTTGTTTTAGCTCCTTTTTGGCTTTGCATACAAATTCATTGCTCGCGTTACAAGCTCAGACATTCAGAGACTCTCAGCCGAACAATTTATTGACTCTGCATGCAAATAAATTCACACACACACACTCAGAGACACACACGCACACCCGCAGGACCTGCAGGACTCAACTCACCTGACATTCTCGTGCCGCTGGATGTATATCTTGTGAAATTGTGTGTCACGTGGCTGGCCCGCAATATCGTCCTTCATCTCCATGGCCACATGACGCGGCAGCACCGACAGCAGCAAGCGTTCCTGCAACAAATGGATCTCCGGTTAATACCCCATATCCATTACAGGATGCTACATGTGGAACAAAGTGTTGGCCACCCAAAAAAAAATACGATTTAAATTTAAATCTGGCTTAGGGATCGGTGTATATATAATAAATGTACAATTTTCTTTACATGGGAGAACCTTTTCTGAGTGTCCTTTTTACGATCACATTACTTGAATTTGCATTGCATTTTTCTCTGAATTTTGTTGTTTATATATTTCTGTGTTACTTTAAGCTCAAGCAGTCACCATCAAAAGGTGCTGCCAAATTATGAAACCACGTGGGCTGACACTCTCTGCTTGAAGTGTCCTTTGTTTGTTGTGCTCCAGATAAAAGGCCGTTGAAAATCACCGAAAAGAACCTGGGAGTTGAATCAGTTACCCCGCTGGTCCTCAATCAACATTCCGTTTGATGCAAACAATTTGTGCGAAATTCGCTCTCTGTTCATTTGTTTGACTTGCCTTTGCTCCTGTTGGCCTTTTCATGTTGTTTGCTTCCACACATGACACCTGCTGAAATTGCTTTGTCTGCGACTCCAAAGAGGGTTCCCCCATTAAGGCATATTTTTAGCTATGGTTTAGGTATTAGGAGGAGATTGGGTGTTTCTCAGAGGCTAGATTTCACACCCTAGGTTTCTTAATTGTTCGATATTTTTCTATTGAAGTTTGTTAGCTAGCTTCTTTTGTTAAAAATGAATTATTTACCAATAGTATTATATTTTCAAGTATATTTTACTATTTCAAAGCACCCTCAATTATGTTACCTCCTAATTTCAAAGGAAATACTGCTCCTAAAAGCACTCACCTGTTGCTGGTTTTCGCGCTGTGTCCGCAGCCTGGCCTCGATGCATTGCCTCGTCTCAATGAACGCCTTGCGCTGGGCCTTCTCCTTGGGCCAGTGGGTGTAGACGCCGGTGAGATTGGCCAGGAGGAGGGCCACCAGAGTACAGAGCAGCTGCGGGGGCAGATCGGTAGGCATTAATGACATTACAGGCCATAAATACTAGGAAAACAACACTTAAGGAGGCTGCAAGGAAGAGGCGCCCTTCACATTCTCGATTTCATTCAATTTAGCGGCAATTTAATTTAATTTCATTTATGTCTACTCGCAGGCCCTGGACACGTGCCACTCTCAGCTGCTGCTGCTGTTGTTGTTTTCCGCTACTGATTTTCCCATTTTCACTGGCGAGGGAGGCAATTAAAGCTCTCGGCCGCCTTATGGCGCAGTGGGTCTCAGTTTTATTGTTCGTTAAATCAATTTGCATTTGCGGCTCTGTGGAACTGCCAAACCTGTTGATAAATGGCTCTATGCTTCATTTGAAATGTAAACAACAACAGGGGGATGTCAATTGACATAGGAAACCCTAGACTATAGTTGGCCATGAAATTTGAGAATAGAAAACTTGGCCTTGTTAGCAAATTAAAAGAGTTAACTTATGTTTACTCAGACAACAATATATATAAAATAATAATTTATGAATTATATTATTTAAAAAATTGATCTTCACTAAATTTTAATGCATTTCATTATTAATATATACTTTTAAAGCCCATTAAATATGTTTAAATTCACAAATACCTCGCCCAAAAATCACTTTATACACAAAGACAATACCCAGCATCTTAACCAAGGCTCAGACCACACGTGTGTCGTCTGTCTGCCACTCACCTCCTCCCATTTGATTGCCTCCGTCGGCTCATCTTCCCTGGCGGCGGCGGCCGTGGTGAACCTCAGACAGGTGTACAGATGGACGACGCTTAGGATGATGCCACCGATCAGAGCCTCTCGGAGCCGCAGGGGCAGCATCGTGTACGTCATGTAGATGAGGACGATGCAGCAGGCGCTGCCATTGAAGGATTTGCTGCCGGAGAGGAGAAATTCGGACACGAGAAGAGCGATTAGCACCAAGGAGAGCACAGATGTGGTTGTTTGCTTAGCAGGACTTTAGCTGATTGTTGCCGGCCAAGTCCCTGCAATTAGCGAGACGTGAATGATTAATTTCGTCAAGCCAGGCAACAGCTGCCAGACACTCAGAGAAAACTTAGGATAGCAAGAGCTCAAAGTATTCAAATAGTACCTTTTTCAAGACTATCAAATAATTTGTATATTTTCTTATTTTGTTAATTAAAATTCTTATGATTTTTTTAAATTTTATATTTAAAACTGATTCTGCCTGTGTAGGCTTAATAACCAGTAAACCAACCTTGGCTGCATGGCATAGCTGACGGCGACTTCGATGGCCAGAAAGGTGCCCAGGATGACATAGGAGACGAGCACGAGGAAGATCTCGTTCATGGCCGGCTTGGACAGGATACACAGCAGGACTGTAAGCAAACACAGACAGATTAGGAGCCAAAGTCAACGGTCAGAGGTCAGCCGAGCGACGAGAAAGCTCAACTCACAGGAGTAGACAATCCCGCAGATTAGCATGACAATGAGGAAGACCAGCACCGACTCATCCACCTGCATCAGGAGCAGGGCCAGGGCGTGGCCATAGCTCAGCGGAGTGTCCAAATTATTGACTGACGCTCCTGCGTTTGACGATGTGTTTAACACTTCATCACGTTCCGCAAGCGAAATTTGATTGTTGTCGCGGACACGCGGCGTATACGTAATGCGTTTACTGCCAGCACTCCGCCCATCATCATCATCATCACCATCATCATCATGGCGCTCTATAGCCGGAGCTCTGTAAACATTATCGGGGGCAGTGTCAACAATCAGCTGGGCTCCTCCTCCTCCACTGACCAGCTCGATCTCGTCCAGACTCCGCTTCTCCCGTATCCTATATCTGCAATAAAGTCGGAAATTTCATTTCACTCGTATCTCAATTGATGGAAATGTCTGTTTTGTGTTTGGCCAACTATCCGTCTTGTTGCCATTTATGGCCAACATAAATATTTGTGTGAAAATAAATCGAAATGTAAATGGAAGCGGCAGAGAAAATGAATTTGCAGAGTCAGTTAACGGAGACGAGCCTACGTTATTGATTAAGGTTTTGTCTTGCGTGCGTGTAGAAGATACTTCTCAATCGGTCTAGTTTGTTGACAAATATTCAAAGGAAAATAAATAAACAATAGATAATAGTAGAAAGTACAAGAAAATAGCAAAAATTGCAGGGAAAGTGGCTTTTAAAATAACCTAAACACCTCTCAATAGACGGCTGAGAATTTCATATTTTTAATTTACACTGAAGGTTGTCTGCATCTGCGCTTCTTCATTTAGACGTATTCTATTTCAGCATAATTTTATTATAATTGAGACTCAAATTACATCCAATAGAACCCAAGGAGTTCTTTGTCTTTTCTATTTATAACTGACCTTAGGAAATCTGCCTTACTCTCTGCTCATTTTATAAGCAAATCAGGCTCTTAGATTTTCCATTGAATTCAACTTCTAATTATCTAGACAATGGCAGAGGGAAGTTAATAAGTGTCTTGCCTGAATAAGTAATCCATTTAAATTTTGTTTGACATTTTCCATCACAAATTAATGTCTTAAATTATATTTGCCTTGGACTTTTCTTGGTGTTGCTTTAAATTAAATTTTTCCTCTGTTGATTAAAGCCATGTCATGGATTCCCTTCGATCAATTGTGGCCTTTGCCTTGGCTAAAATTACTTTTCTTGAAGCTTAACTTGTTCCAGCCTCTCCACCATTCTGCCTAAAATTCAATTTGAGCCTACTTTGGACATACTTTTATGGGCTCAGCTCTTCTTGGCCAGCCTAAAGTTGTTTGATTGAATTTCAGAGCCGCGCGTAAAAGTAAAAACCTCAAATGCGAAATATGAATCGCCTTTTGGGAAATACATTCTTGGTTGAGGGGTGACCTGTCAAAATGTACTTCTCACCTACAGGGTTTTCCTACCCCTCTACAGTGCTGATAAGTTGGCTTACATTTTAGATTTAAAAGGATATTCTTCACTTTAATAACAAGAGTTTTTTTGTACCTAGTATTTTCCTTTTCATCAAAACGCTTTCTTCTAGAAAATATTATCTAATGTTTTCTAAATTAATTTTCGCTGGCTTCAGCTGTTTTTAATGCCCTCACATTTGATATTTTTTCTGCCCTAATACCTTTAGTAATAAGTAATTGGCAGCACTGCTCACCTGGTGCGATGCTGCTGGTGTGCCTTGTGCTTGTAGCGATGCTTGTGGAGGCGTCGATAATGTTTGCGCTTCTGCCGCCGCCACTGTCCCCATCCGGGCCCATTATCATTCTCGTCGAAGTCGGCCGGGTCGCGGTTAACGGCGGATTTGAAATCAGTGCCTTTTGGCCAGCCCGCAAGCCCGGTATCGAAATTCGGAATGGCGGAGGGTATGTTACTATTGCTGCTGCTGCTCCTGCCAGTGGCAATTTGTGGAGAGGCTGATGCCGGAGGCTTTATTGTGGTTGTCGTCAAGTTGCCACCGGTCGTCGCATTTGCGTCCAGACCGATTTGGCCGATTTCCAGTAGCAGGGAGCTGCTGCGTCGCAGCTGCAGCGTGGTGAAGACCAAGTGCGTGCAGGATAGGGCCAAAACCAAAGCCAGAAGCAGGGCCAGGATGTGCGTGGTGTTGCTCTGGTTCATACGCAGAAAGTAGCGCTGATACAGCATTTCCACCTGAATGAAATCAGGAAATTAGTACACTGGGAGAAAGGAATTTTGCAGATTTTATATTCAAATTGAATGGAAAAACGGATATTTTCTAAAATTATTTATTGGAAGCTTAATAAAAACCCAAAAATTCTCTTTATTTAAGTATAATAACATTAGTAATTTCTTTATCTTGTAAAACACATTCTTTTTCCAAGTGCCAGAAACAAAAAAAGTTGAGCAAACTTAGTAGCAAGGCTGGCGAAAAAGTTGCAAAGAACTTTGGCAGGAGCAGAAGCAGGAGCAGGATCTGGGCCAGTTTGAAAATTGTTTGGCAAAGGATTTTATGCTAAGCTTTCAGCGTAAGTAGCTTACCTGGAGATTCTTGAACTGGTGCGTGGAGCAGAGACGCAGGATGATGCGGTTCAAACGGAACCAGAACGAGATGCTGGGACTCATTGGACCGTTTGCCGCACCGGAACCTCCTCCACCGCCGCCCGGATTTGGATTGTTGGCCTCCATGTTGCCAGGATCACCTGAAAGCAGAGTCATTCAATTTGCGGCCAGAGACTTCTATGAATATATGCCTAGAGTCCTTGCACAAAAGCCAATTTAATTAATACCTCAGACGGAAAGTTAAGTTCAATTTTGGAATCTGAAGTCGAAATGCAGCTCAACTGCAATTAGCTGTTCAAAATGATTACATGCCGGGAAATCTGCATACGAAATTGCTGTTGGCACACAAATAATTACACATTCGAGTGACTTTTGCAAATGGGAAAACCTTTGGCAACAATTAGAATTATGGAAATGGGAGGAAACAGCATGGAAAGTTTTTGAAAGTTTTGCAGTTACAGGAGACTTGTAATTGTAAATGTGTGAATGATATATTATTGTTCAATGAATGTTGTGTGTGGGTGTTGCGTGAGCAGAAGCTCAATGAGTCTGTTGATGACTTTTAAATGCAAATTTGTGTTGATAATTCCCATTGACACATGACTCACATGAATAAAATAGTTTAGAAATGCCTCTCACAGACTCATTAAAATCAGTGAATAAAATATAAACCCGTTTTGTGTGTAATCTGGGTTGATTTAACTTGTGACATGTATACAAAATCACAGAAGTTTCTGCCTATTTATGCATATTTTTCAGTTAATTTGCTTGTAAACTTTTGTTGGAAAATATAATGTTTAATTAGATACTTGACTAGGCTTAAAAGGTATAAGCTTTTAATGCCAGATTAAGCGAAATGTTTATTTTGATGAATGTTAAAAGAGGATAATTCTTTAATCAAAATAATTTTACTAAGAAACCTCTTATTAAACTGTTGTTTACTAGTGAAATTTCAACTTATTTATATACCTCCTTCTCTTTTCATTAAATATGACCCACAAAATAAACAAAATCACACAAAATTATGTTATTTTGGTTTAGAAATCATTATAAAATTAATTTCCCGTTCCAGATGAATCTATTGCACTATTTTTTCACCCTTGTTAACACAAAGTATGTCTTTTTTGAAGGCAAACCCAAACCAAATTATTGTACCTCCCCTTTTGGAAACCTACATATTTCCTTGGCCATTCTGACATCGAGTACAATTCATTCGCTTAACGTGTTATACACATTTTCGATTTGCCAGGCATTGTGTGTGGCACATCATCATCAACTGAGCCTGACATTTCTGCTGCCCTGCCCTTCCCTTTTTCTCCCCTAAAAAAATAACCCTGTGAGAAATGAGAATGGAAACCTTGATTTCAAATGCAACACACAAAGCCATAAAATATTTTATTGTAAAATGGAGAACGTCAGCCAAATCGGCATATTAAAATCATTCAACTGTCCCGTGCCCTGACCACAATGCAAAAAACCACAGCAGCAGCACACACACAACAGAATTCCGTGTGGCGGAATGGAGTCTGAGATGTGGAAAGGGATCTTGGAATATGTTTTTATATGCATCAATAAATAAATGCCAAACGTGATTATGTAAATTCCATAGAAATCTACGCAGCGTCCTCTATACAGATGTCTATCGAAGCCAAGCAAAACCGAAGGCGGGGCTCGGTTTCTGTTCGCAGGAAACGCAAACTAAAATAAATCTGTAATGGGGTCTGGGGCTGGATGATACAGGAGAAGCCTGACAACCTTGAAGTGGTTTGGGTTGGGTGGTGGCAAAAGCGATATGTGAGTGAAATGCCAATGACAAGGAAACGTGAGACGAGAGAAAGAGAGACGAGACTGCGAAATAGCCTCGTCAAATTCAATATGACAATGACAATCAACTTGTGACATTTTGAGCGGTGCGGTGCGAGCGGGGAAGAAGACAAAAAAAAAAAATAAGGGTCCTCTCGGCAGGCAAAGGAAGCATGTGTGCATGTCGGTATTTTTATTGACCCTGAGTAGCCCCCAGTAACGAGAGGTAAACGCTTTCCTATTACCCAAGACTTTCTCCGCATTCTTTCATTTTTCTTACCGTGCTGCAGCAGCTGCGCCTCGTCACGTTGGTAGACCATGGGACTGTGGCAGGTGGAGCTGGAGTTGGTGGAATCGATGGATTCGTCGATGTTGCAGCGCGTAATGCCAGCCTGTTGGGGGATGAAGTGAGTGAAATAATTGAATTATTATAGCTGGAAGGCATAAAATCTCATTTATATATTACAATTAAACCACCGAAAATTGTCAATAAAATTTAGATTACTTTCAGCCGTTAGCAACAAGCTTTTAAATGTGAATTTTTATATTTTAAACAAATAGAGCATCAATTAGCTAAATATATACTTATATTTGGATGCACAAATTACCTTAAAATACATTAATAATATTTTTAGGGGATTTTAAGAAATCTTGTAAACTTATTAGAATGCTAAAATATGTTGAGTAAAATGCAAACCATAATTACTTTTGAAAATATTTACTAAATTCCAATAAATATTTATGGCTTTGATTTGTTTATATGCTTAAAAGTATTCAATTAGGTAAATAAACATAATTAATTAAAGCTCATAAATACTTTTCTCTAATAAAATGCAATGAATTAAGTTTTAAATACAATAATAAATTACTTTTAAATGTATTTTATTGGCCATAATTGAAAAATCATTGTGCCAAACTTAATTCAAATGTATAATACCTGAGGCAATTGAAATCAAATTAAATTTATTTAAACTGGCGATTAAAACTTTTAGTAAAGTCAATTAAGCAGAACTACAAATGCTCTAATTTAGTTGAAAATATCCAGACACTGTGTTAAATAATAATTTATAGTTAGTTAAAGAGTTGCTTCTTTCCACGTTTATAGTTAATGTTTCTACTCTCATTTAAATGTACTAAAGTATCCATTTGACCCTTGTAAGTATGCTATGATTTTTTTGCGTCCACAAACAATTGAACTAAACGTTTTACCCACTCAAACACATACCAATGCACACTCTGGCACACCCTGGCCAACTGAGACTCGTGTGTGTGTGTGTGTGGATCCCCGCGGCGTTTTTAAGCAAATTGCCGCCCATTTGAATGCCAGAAAATGTTTTTTTCTTCGTTCCTCTCTCGCCCTTTTTTTTGTTGCCTTTTCAATTTGCTAAACTTTGTCAATTGACTCTTGACAACGAACGCAAATAGAAATATACACACTCGCGCCACACACACACAGTTGCCAAGTGGCCCCTTGTGCCTGTGTGTGGTAGTGCTTTTCCCAGGACATCGCTTGTTAGTTGGCATTAAAACACGTTAACTTTTATAGAGGGAAACGTATCTAAAAGAAATATACACACAGTGGGGAAGGTATTGCAAAGGTAAAGAGGAGTTAATAATAAAACTCAAATAAAAACGAGTGTAGAGAATCACGGGGTTTTTCCAGTTAAGTATCTTTTTTAAAAGCTTTAAACTAACTTTATTATTCTCGAAAAGCAACAAATAAGTGTTCATTTAAGGGAGTTTGATGTTTGGAAATATATAAACGAAAAATAAAGCATAGAACAATTTACTGAGATTACTGTAAAATTTCCTATCTCTACCAAAAATCCTAAACATTTTTAATATTAATTTTCAATTTCAAATTACTTAAAAATGAGAAACCTTATACAATTTCTTGTTTTTCCAACTTGCTTAAGTTTTATGTTCAATTTCTAACTAAAACCCAAGTAAGAAGCCAAAATTGTTTGACTAAATAAATTAAAAAACTAAATTAAAACAAGACTGTAAGAAAGTTTAGAGAGTTTTCCTTTGGCCCAAGGCTCTTTTCCCTCGAGCCCAATTTCAGCTTCGATTGCGATAAAACAATAAATTTAATTAAAGCCAAATTTCCTGACATGCTGTTGCTGCCTGTGTTTGCTTTTGCCAGATTGTTTGATTTTAAATACATTTTCCAGGACACCCTTCTCTCCTTGCCCATTAGCAATGAAATTATATTTAAATTTAGCTCCAACTCAGCTTATTTGTGGCGCAATCAAATTAAATATTTAAATCCCAAAGCACAGGTAAGTAAGAGGGAGGGTGCCTGCTGCCGACGTTCTGTCCATTAGGCGGGCAAATTAATTGATGCCAGAATCCCATTGCCCATTGGCCCCCATCCACTAACCATACTCACCGCAATCAAACTGCTGCTAACCATGGCCTTGCCTCCCTTGGCACTTGTATTGAAATGTTCGATCACCTCCCAGTTGGACTTCTTGGGCGTCGAAGGCTGTGTCTGCGTTTGCGGTGGCTGTGAGGGAGAGCCCGCTCCGGAGGAGCTTCCACCACCACCACCCTGCCCCTGGCCGGGCACATGCAGCTCCATGGAGGCCTGCTGGCTGCCACCGCTTCCCGCCTGCCGCAACGAGGCCGAGCGGCTGAAGAACTTTCTGTGCTTGCTCTCCTGCAAAAAAAAAAAAAACAGGGGAAATAGGATATAAAAAATGCGGTAAATGGCTCATTGTGTACACTGGCTAGAAAAAGAAGCAACAAAAATTAAGACATTATTCGGGCCATTAGAGAATACAACAAATTACAAAAAAACGAGGAAAGCCTTATTGATCAGAAAGGGTTACTTGTTCTTTTATGTAAATTTGTGTTAAAAAATTTAAAGAAGTAAAAGCTTGTTGCCAAATTTTTATAAATTGTTATCATGTGTTTATATTTAGGATATGTTATTTGACTTCCTTTTTAACTAGTTTAATTTATATTTATTTTAAAACATTTCTTCTTTATCATTTAAATAAATATTTTATATTTTTTTTTTCCCTTATCCTATTTTCAATTTCCTCGTATTTTTCCCAAGTGCACCTTTTGCGTAATGTCTTTGTGCTTGTGGTTCAATTAGCTCACCTCCTTGCTGCTGGCCAGTCCTGGGGCTGTGCCTGCCGCACCTCCTCCACCAGGACCACCTCCTCCTCCGCCGCCGCCATGGCGCATTCCCCCGGAGAGAAAGCCGCTTGGACCACTCCCGCTTCTGGCTTTCCGATGACAGCGAACGAAAGATGTGGGTGGCCCCACCGCTTAGGCCACCTGACCCACCTGGGCCCGCTCCCGGCGCTCCACTCATCCCGCCGCGACTGTCCTTAGCTGAAAGGAGAAATGAATGGAGGGGAAAATGAAATTGATTTTCATTTTACATGCTAAAAAGAGAAAAACGGGAGAGTGCGCTAATTTCTAAACAAATTGCCAATTTTTGCGCTCGACAGCGACAGAAAATGGCATTAAAACAATAAATTCGATTTTGCACAAGCGAAAGCACAAGCAAAGGCAAAGGCAAACCCCAAAACAAAGCAACTCAAACAGAAACTGCCGCCGCCCCCCGCAAAAAAGCATCGCAAACTGACGCCGCCAATAAATATATCGTATCTACTTTTCGGATTTCCCCCGCCAGAGCCTACCGTTCCCTAAGTATGTATATATTTTTGTAGGATCTTTTTTTTAGAGGGGGTTGAGAGGGGTTTTGTTTTTTGGGTGCCGGCCCACTTAAGTCTCACGAAATGCTCGCCAGACACGCAAGGTCCTATCAAAACAGGAGCCAGGATAGAAAGGGGGCAGGGAGGGCCAGAACGAGTACAACTTCAGATTGTTTGTAAAATTTTCGAATGAAACAAAAAGTGGGAGGAAGAAAATGTATAGAAAATTTATCTTCAATCTAGCGAAGTTTTAATACCCTTATAAACTTCCAGAGATTATCGAAGAAATACTGTAGATGAGCTGGGAGAAGGTTTATGGTTTTTACAGGGTTTTGTTTAAAAACAAAAGATATAAAATGGGCGAAATTATTATTCATAAAGAATAGGGATTAGATTCTAAGTAATTTATAAATTTAATAAATCTTAAAATAAAATAATTTTAATTTCTATACCCAACTACAAAGTCAAAGAGCCCGATTTCATTAGCATTTCAAACAAAACTGTGCCACAGACAACAGCAAAACAGTGAACGAGAGGCAGAGAGGGAAAAGGCAGAGCGGAAAAGACGGAAATAAAAGAAAAGCAGGCAGTTCGAGGGAAAAACTTCTCATTGTGGAAAGTCTTAAAGCCAGGCGCAGGTCGTCGTTCGCCGGCTTCTTGTTCTTCGGCGCTTCAGCGTCTCGTCTTCATCATCGCCGCCGTCTTTTGCCTTTTATCGGCTTTTGTTTTTTTGCCAAAGGCGGCGGTGAAAACTTCGCAAAGGGGGCGTGGCAGGCGGAGAGCGGAAGGGGCCAAACACAAGTGCCTGGCCACCGGCATAAATATGTCCAAAACACAACGCTCCGCGTGCTATAAACAAATTGTTTTGCTGTTGCCAAAAAAAAAAAAAAGAAGAAATATTTCAACAAGAAATTCTTCTTCGAAAAAAAATTGAAAAATTGAATGGAAAAATGAATATTAAAAAAGACAAGAACGAAGCTATCGAGTAACGCAACGGGCAACCCACCAAAAATTCACATGAGAAATTCCTTGGAAATTCTCGTGAATCAGTTCGCACAATTTGCCATTAAAAGTTCTTTGTTTTCCATTTAGTTAAACATTTGTGCCACCCGTCGGGCACATAATATAAACTATAAGTCATATTTCTTAATTTCTGCTCATGAGAAATATTTGTATTTTTCACCAGATATCAACAATCCATGGAGCGAAGGTCAGTGCTTTTCCAATTTACCACCTCATTAAGTCTTAATAACCATTTTTCTTGATTATTTCTCAATTTTTCTATAAATTGTATGTGGAAATTCTATGTAGAAATTAATTGAGTAATCAATAAAATAGCCATTTCGCAAGTTATATTTCCATATTCTCATATCAACTGCGAGCAGAAGAAAAAGTCTACAAAGTCTGCCTCAATTAGGAAAACTTTTCTCTGGCTCAAAAACTAAAGAGACAACTTTATTTTTGGGCTGTTAAAAGTCACCAAAGTTTGCTGCCACCACACACAGAAAATACAGAACATAAAAAAGCACAACTTTTGCCAACTTCCAAGGCATATGCAAAATAGCAAAACGGAAAATCTGGTAGAAGGGGGAAAATTTGTGGAGCGGTTGCCGCGGCAATTGAAAACTCTCCTTGACAAAAACCCATAAATGTCGTCATCGTCTGTCATTCGACACTTATCGCTGCCTCGAGGAAGCATCATCCATTGAAATGACTTAAGTCTTGAGCTATTTGAAATTTTCCTACGCAGCCTCGCGGGCTTTTCCAAATCGAAGAAGACGGTGAAAGCCTTTCTGACAGATAGCAGGATGCCAATGGATTTAATTGGCCTGAACTTTGTTTTGTTTTGGATCCTTTGAGGATAATAGCAACAGCTGAATGCGTAATCAATCATAAATTATAATTTTTGCAAGCCAAATCAAATGATTAATCACAATCAGTCGGAGAGCAGAAAATGTTTGTCATGCTGCAGCAGGAATGCCAATCATTAGCCATCGAGGTGGGATTGAGTTATCCTTACTGAGACTAAACTCTAGACAAAAATATAGGTGTGATTGTAATGCTATCGGGATTAAATTGTACTTTAAATTCAGTTTAGAAATGTCTTATTATAAATTATAATTCAAATAAATACAGAGAGGAAGAGATTCTTCAAGTTCGACTAACCTTAATACTCCCTCGTCAATTTTAATTCCATTCGCTTATCCCTTGTTTGCATTTCTAATATAAAAAGAGCTTTTGGAACCCCTCTAAATCAATGTCATCCCCCCCACTGCCACCAATACCGGCGGAACATTTGCACACCCCGCCAGGTAAAATGGCGAGTAAACAGTCCCGACATGTAGGAAATAATGGTATATCGCCTCGGTTATATTCGATTCGATGCGATTCGATGCCGCAGTTCGATGGCAATTCATTATGTTAATGGCGCTAATGGTCTGGCAAATATTGTGCCAGCAACAAAAACACGGTGAAACAAGAAAGCACAGCACCAGCACCAGGATAAACTTTGTGTCAGCAAGCGCGCCAAAACAAAAATTAATAAAAACAAAACCAATTTGATAAGCGAAGCAAATTAATGAGGGCAGAGCTTTTACTCCCTCGCACCTAAAACCTAAACCTAAAACACGACATGTGTAAATGGGAAAGTGAAAGGAGGAGCAGACAGAGTTTTCCAGACTTAGGGATACCTTTTGTAAGCAGAAGAAAAGATGTTGGTTTAATAAATTAATTTTAAAATAAAATAAAAACCCTTATTGTATTTTTAATAACAATTTTCATTAAAGAATCTATTAGTCATATTATTTTATATAATTTATTTTCTTATGCTTTTCCATTATCCAAGAATTAAACCATTAAATTATACATTTATCTATACCTGCGTTATGCTTTTGATTTCCTCTATTTCCCTAAATTTTTATAAATTTACCTTACGTTGTCTAAATACCCCAATTTGGCCACTCACTGTGGTTAAGTTTCGGACGAATAAAACTAATAATATTTCCCCAAAAACTACCGAATATAACAGAAGTGTGGAATTGAATCTAAGAATGTTGAGTGGGAGCATGAGCTTTGTCTGTCCCCTCATGCATATTCATTCATTAACCGGGCAGCAGAACAGCTGCTGGCATTTGGCCCAAACTCGAAGCGGACCCCTTTTACACCCCTCACACACTCACCCTCTTTATACAACACTCAATCCCCCTATCACCACCCACCAACCGGCAACTAAGCCCACGACCATTGCCACACAATGTTCCAGCCTCTAGGTAAGTTCTCTCTAAATATAGTTAGTGAAGCCAGCATTCACGCACTCATACACGTGCGGCCGACACTCACCCACATACTCAAAAACACACGCCACAATTACACTGAAAAAAAAAATGTACAAGAAAGGAGACTAACTTAGGGAAGCCGAAATTTGTATAACCATACATATACACAAATAATTTAACAATAAAATTAATTAAAATTAAGGGAATATATAAACATTTTTATGAAATTGTGTAACAAATGAAATATTTGCAACTATACGAAATCTTTTGCTGAAGCCCTAATATAAATTTTTGCATAAATATTTTTCCTCATAAAAATATCAACATGTCAAAAACTAATCCCGTAATTAATAGACGTGTAAAAATTCGTCCAGTGTACTAGATATTTTTAGTTGCCGCCAAATGTTTATGCTGCCATGTGCTGCCTGCTTTTTGTTTTTGTTGCTGCTTTTATTTTTTGATATTTGCTGCCTTTTTTTGTTTACGCATCGTCATCTTTGAGCGTTTTGTATAATGTTTGCATTTCATTTGACGCGTTAAGGTGTTTTTCGGTAGGAAATTTGCATTGCCAACGAATTCATTAGCCGGTTGGAAAGGTGGGCAAAAGGTGATAGCTGATGTGAGATGAGAGGTGTGTGTGGAGGAGGAGTTTGCCTGGGAAATGCGTGTGCCATCTGTAAATCGGACCCTGACACTGAAAGAAAAGCAATGTGTGTCATGAAAGGAAAAACCAAAATAAATACTTGAAAATTTAGTTAGCTTAAAGAAATGAAATCAAAGGAGATATGATCATACCTTTAAAAAAATTAAATTTTATTATTATTTCATCATTTTGTAAAACGAAATCTTTACTTTTTGAAAGAATAAAACGGTTTAAGAATATTTATCGCATATCAATTAGACCACTCTCTATTTTTCTCTCAGTAAGTACAAATATTTTCTTTCATCTTTCACTCCTTTGTGAAAACATTTTCAATCAGAAATTTATTTGAGTTCAAGCTGAAAATTCCACTCGAGGTCTAGCATACCCATTAATTAACATTCTCCCCAAAAGCAACCGCTCTTAATTCATGGAAAGGGAATCCTCCAACCCAAAAACATGAATATGTGCCTTACAAATAGAATGGGTTAAAATAACATTCATAATTAATTCAACTAGCGAACAAGAAGAGAACGAAGAGAGGGCCATATGAATTTGTTTAGCTTATAAATTTGTTAAAACAAACCCCAAGCCAAAAACCAAAGCCAAAAACCGAAGAAGCAAAAGCCAAATGCCAGACAGAACCCACATATTTGCTGAATGAATTGTGGCCAGTATATGCAAGAAATATTGGGGGCAATAAAACCGGTCAAGAGTATCGTAATAAAACTCAAAACCG